TATTCAAAAAGATAGAAACTGAGGAAGAACTCCCAAATTCCTTCTATGAAGCCAGCATCACTCTAATACCCAAACCGGGTAAAGACACAACAACAACAAAAAAACTATCAATCCATATCCTTAATGAACATAGATGCAAAACTTCTCAACAAAATACTTGCAGACACACTTAAAGCTGTAATGAAATGCTTATTCTAATCATGTAGTTATTAAAAATTTTTTAAAAATGATTTTAAAAAAAGATTTTAGGGTTACCTCTTCAGAGGGGGGAATGTTGGAGGGGTAGGAGTGGGCATGGATTTGATCAAAATACCTTATATACATGTATGAAATTCTCAATAAAGTTTTTGTAAAAGTTAAAATAAGAATAATAAATAAAAATAATTTTTTTAATGTGTATGAGTGTATTGCCTGCACTTATGAGTGCACCCGTGTTGTGCATTGCCGTGGAGGTCAGAAGAGGGCTTTGGATTCCCCTGGCACTGGAGTTAAGGACGGTTCGTAGCCGCCATGTGGGTGCTGGGAATTGAACCCAGGTCCTCTGCAAGAGCAGTCAGTGCTCTTAACTGCTGAGCTGCTGAGTCATCTCTCCAGCCCCCGATTCTCTATTTTTTTTGAATCTCTAATTTTTAAAGAGATAGGATTTTATTTGGGGTCTGACAAGGTAGAAACATACCCTACCAACATACAGTGAGTTCCTCTTCAAAGGAAGCTACAATAAAGCACAGATTCAAGGCTCTCATGAGCTTATCTATGATCTTGGCAGGAGAGCAGCAGAAACCAGAGGGCATGGGAAGGAAAGAAGAGGAGTGAATCACCTGGAAGGGAAAAGCCACGGCATCTTAAACATTAAGACCAGGGATGGGTTGCACAGTGACCCAGCTCAGCAATGCCTAAAACACAGCCAAACCATAAACAAAAGAAGACGGCAAATCCAGAATTCAAAATATTCTTGATTCTTGTCAGTCAGCCAGTTCCAATCTGGAATCTCACCTTTTTCAGTGCTAGTTCAACATTTCAGTCTTGTTTAAAATTATAGACCAGAACTTTCTTGAGGGTAATTTGCCTAAGCCAAGCAAATCTGGACTGACACTCCTGTGAAGAGAAGATAGTCCCACAATTGCACATACCATTCACAGCAAATCAAAGGCCAACAATGCCTTCACAGCCCCAGAAACTATGAGCATCTGATCAGTATCAGACAGACTTCCTCCCCAGCCTCACCTACCATTTAATATAGAAAAGTCTTTGGCATAAAGGCTTTGCCTGGCTATCAAGAGCGTTTTCCATATTACAAATCTGAATGAACCACTAAAATACTTTCAATTCTTAGCTAGTAGTATAATATTTACAACCCTCTTCCTTTAGTTCACTGGGTTACTATTCTGAATGCTTTTAGAAGTGCAGACCATCTTCTCTGCCACTCAGCCATAAGGCATTCAAAATCAGCTAGTCCTTATCAGAGCTGATTAAGAGGAATTAATGGAATAAGGAAATATCTAAGTATATATGCAAAAATATAATTGTAATACTTACCTATTAGCCCCTTCTCCAGAGTGAAGGTTTTGTTTGTAAACATGCATTCAAAAGCCACAATGTGGAAAATCTTGTTCACTGTGTTGTGAGTACCAACTACTCGGATATACCTAAGGGTAAAGAGAAAGCACAGCTGTTGAAAACGAGCCCTACCACGTTATTTAAACATACACTATACCAGGACATGGACTAAAGGAGACCTTGGAAGTTCTGAGGACATCTTAACTTCAGCCCCTGTGTCTACTCCTACACTAGCTACAAGTGTGCATAGCAAAATCATGGCAATGCCACTCACTTCCCAGAGAACTAGATGAAACTTGGATGTGATTTACCTAAAATCACTCCAGGCACTATTTAATTCTACCCTTTTATGTCAGAACAAGTATATGTTCAGGAGGCACTGACACTGGAGAATAACAAACACCTTGCCTTATGGTTAGGAGTGCGTCTGGGGGCACATGTGCAAAAGTAAAGGCAAAATCAAATGCTTTCCAGCTCAATGAGAGATTTCCTCCATTGCAGATAAATGAATGACATTAATACTGTTTCCCCATCCAAAAGGAAAAGTGCACATAAACTACTGAAATCCACTTTGAATGTCTTAGATTTTAGTATTATTCTTAATACCTCACAAGGAAGTTAAGCCTGTATACTCATGCCTACCCCGACCTGATTGCTGGGGAGCCTTCTCCTGAGCAGAGGAAGAGATCTGCAGAGGACCAGACTTCTCTGCAGCTTCCCTCTGGGCCCCACAGCTCTGGCACCTGTATGCGGTACGGAGTTTCACCAGACAGGTCTAGAGTGTCTTGGCCTGTTCATCCTGTCCATCCCCCTGGAGGCTTCATCTTGGACAAACAAGCATTAACCTTGGAGCAACTTGCTCCCTTGGCTCCCCAGAGGGACTGACAGTTCACAGGTTAATGAAGATACAAACTCACTCCTGAGTGTCACACAGTTCCACAGGTATGTGCTGTATGCTATCTTGCTAGAATTCAAAGGAAGAACCATGAAAAATCACTAGATTAACTGATGATGCTCTTCCAAATTATGAACTGTGCACTCTGAGGGATGGGGGCATATGAAGCAAAGAGATTTCAATTAGGAAATGACAGACTGGGAAAGGTTTTACTAATACCTTCTCTCTGTGTATAGAACCTTCGATTTAGCTTTACTTTTGAGTTAATCACTGTTGACTAATTCGGTAACTTCCTTGCATTTCTCATCACTCTGAATTAACTGTGTAATATAAAAGACAATTTGAAAAATTCACATTCAGGAGTCTATATCTAGGGCTTTGCATCATGGTCTTCCTTCTTGTTTCTTCCTGTTCCTCATACACTCCCTGTGCACCTCATCAGCCATCTGCTCCTTGACATGAGGTGATCGCTTATCTTCATACCTAATAACGGGATATCCCGGACAAGCTGGTCTCAGTGCTCAGGTTCACTGCAGGGAGATGCTGTTTTTCCCATGATGGCCTGAGCAACTGCTTCTCTTACAGGAGCCCTGTGGGTTAAAGGTCATCCTGCTTCCTCAGCCTCAGTACAGAAACAAAGGCCTGAGTTTACTGGCTTTGGGTTCTAAATGGACTACGTAGTGTAGCATAGATTGTGCTGTGTTTTACTACTGGCAGTGACAATCTCTCTGGTGCTCTCTGGAAGGGAAGGGGTGTACTAAACCTGGCATTTTGGCCTGAATCTAACTTTGTTCATTTCCTTTAACCACAGGAACTCAACCAGCATAGCACTTTGAACCGCACATGGCTGTGGCAGCCAGAGTGCCGCTGTCTGCAACCTTAGAAGGAACTCGGTTTGGTGGAATCTGATCAGATCATTTTCCCATTCTCAAGGTCAAGTTTCTATCAAAGGAGAGTCAATTCTCCCTCTTGCACAGTACAAAGCCAGGAAGTGACTAACAGGGCCTTTCTCCTCGGCAGTATGGAAGGTTACAAGCCGCATTGCCAGAAGCAGACACTGTAAAGGCCCCGCCTCCCCTTTTTAAAACACAGAATCAAGCTTTCCAAGTTTATTTAATAGTCATTTCCCAAGTGTTACCCTGATGTAAATGTCAGGAATAGGCAAAATTCCCCCTTGCCCCACAGTCATAAGCAGCTGAGGATAAAAAGTTGTAATGGACATGTAATGTAATGTAACATGTAAACATGTTAGAGTTTTAATGATGTTTGTGATAATAAACAAAATAATGTAATATGGTAGGAAGAGCGGAGAAATGCCTCCATACAGAGTCCTAGTAAATGAAGACGTCTCTGCTGCATGATCCTGAGCTCAATTAGCACTTCATGCTGCACACTGCACTTCCGGGAGCAGGTTATATGTAATACTCATAGGAAGCCTCACCCCAGTGCTTTCCAAGTCTGTAAAAGTATAGCATGACTTCGGGGCTGGAGAAATGGCTCAGCGGTTAAGAGCACGGACTGCTCTTACAGAGGACCCAGGTTGGAATCCCAGCATCCACAGGGCAGCTACAAACTGTCCTTACCTCCAGTTCCAGGGGAATCCGAAGCCCTCTTCTGACCACTGTGGCATTGCATGACACAGCTGCACTCACATACATGCAGGCAATACACTCATACACATAAAATAAAAAAAAATTTTTTTAAAGTATAGCATGACTTTAAAAAATGATTTGAAGTCCTTACCCAAGCCCACATTTTAAAAGACATTTAACGCCAAAAGAAAGATGCCATGCTCCTCAAGCAAGAGCCTCTAAATATCTGGGACTTTCTCTGACACTGAAGATCGAGAGTAGACGCTACATACTATTTTCAACAAACGGCCTAGCTTCCATCACTGGTGGTGGCAGCCTGAAGCTCTACACTAAGAATTCAGAGGTATTCTGCTCAGGAACCCTGAGTAATGGCTGAGGGGACATACAAGCACCTTCCCTGATCATGAGCACATTTCCTTATTGGAACTCACAACAGAGTACCCCAAAGGTGAATGAGAAGTTATTACTACCCAAAGTACCCAAGAGACAGGCTGGAGCAGAGTCCCCGGTTTCCTTTTTTCTTTTTTTAAACTTTCTTTGAAAAGCAAAACAAAATGATCTTAACACCTAAGCAGGAGAAGTAAATGTCATTTTTCTGTCACAGGAAATCCTGGATAGCCAATAGGTAAGGCTTCAGATTTCTTCCTTTTCCTTTTTGGCACCAGGTTAAGTGAGTGTGACTATGCACTAGAGTGATGGTGTCCTGCCTTCCTGTGTTAGCTGTCCTCAAGTGCTGACAGAGCCTGGATCTTGAACACAGTTCAAAACAAGATGTTTCAATAACAAAGCTCCTCAAAGCTAAGAGACTTAGGTGAAAGGGATTCTGCCTTCTTTAACGCAACAAGCCGCTGAGGACGGCAGGCTGAGACCCGAAGGCACCATAGAGTTCTGAACAATGTGGGTTTCAGAGCAGTCCTGCCTCCATGTAATAAGTCCTGTGCACCCTGGAGGAAAAGGAGTGTTTTAAAAGCTTTTTGAGTCTTAGTTTCCTCTACTAAGAAAAGTCACAAGGGGGCTGGAGAGCTGGATCAGCAGTTAAGAGCACTGGCTGCTCTTCCAGATGACCTGGGTTCAATTCCCAGCACCCACATGGCAGCTAACAATCAGGCCTAACTCCAGTTCCAAGGGAATCTGATGCCCTCTTCTGACCTCCACAAGTACTGCACTACACAGGTGCATTTACATACATGCAGGCAAAACACTCATATACATGAAATAAAGATAAACAATTTTTTAAAAAGGTCAGTGTTATCCTCAGAAGGCACTGGTTTTCAAACCAAAATACCAATGCCAGGAACAAGGTAGCTCCCTATGAGTTGGTGGCCAGGTAGCTCCTAAAGGCTTCCCAGATGATATAGGCTATTGCCATTGCTCTTGGCTGTCCACCATAGCTGGACAGTAAGACTCTATTGCTGAAGATATTACCTACTCTCAATACAGGACTCAGAAAAACCAGGCTGAGACTGAACTGGCAGCTTCCTCTCTCCTGGCTAACATTCACAGTGCTGAAGGTGTTGTGTAAGCTGTTGGGAAAGAAATCATCAGTGATCATATCCAGCTGTAGACCCTTCATGCTACAATACTGAACTGCCTCCCAAGATATGTCCATTGGTGTAACAGTGACATGGATGTTCTGGAAATAACCAGTCACTTCTTGATCAGAAGTGGTACCCATTCCACAGGAGGGAACAGATGCCTGGCACTGTAGTACTGCTCAAAATCCTAAGGCTAAGGAGGGGGGTCACAGGACATACGGGGGAATCTACTATTGATGTTCTGTCAAATGGACATGTAGTTAAAATGCATTCCAAATATTTATACTCATCCCTATGTAGCACTCAGCCTTGGCCAGAGAAGTCTCTTTAGGCAGTGGGTGATGGTCAGAGTGAGGACCTGTAACTAGTCAAAATGTTAGAAGTAAGTGTATGCTGAGTGTTTGGTCCCAAATGGGACAAATATGTCACCCCCTCTGAGGCTCAGGGAACATCACCAAGGAGGGAGGAGAAGCACCGTGGGAATCAAAGGATGGGGAGAAGTGCAGCGGGGTGCTATTTTCTCGATACAAAATGGTTGTTGTAATGATGACACAAAGAGGTTGTGACTGCCTGCACAAGGCTTGAAAACAAAAGAAAAAAAGGAGGGAGGGAGGGAGATAGGAAGGAAGGTAAGGAAAAGGAAGTAAGAGTGGGGAGGAAGCTGGGAAGAAGCTGGTTAACCAAGATGCCAGGGGGATAGAAGGGTCGTTAAGAAGGGTAAATGCAATCACAGTGCACTGTGCACAAGTAGGATACTGTCAATTCTCAAAACTAAATGAATTAAAAAGTTTGCCACAGAAAGGTCAACAAGAGAAATTTTACAGGGTATTTAGATGAGTTAAAAATGTAAAAGTGGGGCTAGAGAGATGTCTCAGTGG